AACAGCCAGGTGCAGTGGCTCACACCTGTAATCCCAGCACTTTGGGAAGCTGAGGCGGGCAGATCACAAGGTCAGGAGATCCAGACCATCCTGGCTAAGATGGTGAAACCGTCTCTAAAAAATAAAATAAAATAAAATGAAATAAAATTTGAAAAGAAAACAAACAAAACTTGATGGAGTATACAAGTTCCTATATAAAAATTTATGAAGTTGTACATTTAAAAATTGAGTAACTGATTTTATGCAAATTATACCTAAATTAAAAAATGAATACCATCTAAGTTTTCATGTCTATATAAAAATACATAAAGCTCAGTCTGGAATAACACACACCCTACTTTTGGCAGCTGTTCCCTCTGCTTTTCTTCTGCATACTTCTGTATTACTTGAACCTTTTAAAAAGGAGAATCCATTAATTGGATATCTAATAAATTAAAAATACAATATTTTAACTCAATAAAATAATTGATCAATTAATGGACAAAATTAACACACAACCAATACACTTTGGAAAAAAGCAAGCTGCTGAGCATCTGTGTAGAGATATACTTGTCTTCACTCTTGGGAAGCATCTCAGAACTATGCTTTCTCTGTTTTTGCCTTTCTAAAGAGAAGTTTACAGTAAGTCATCAGTTAACTTCTGTAAAGGGTTTTTCTCCTATCCTTATCACTGTCTGCCTGATAGCTGCATGTGGAGGTGTGATATGAACACCACAGGCACCCTATGAGATGCCTGACCCCACCCTGGGGAGCTGGGGTTTACAAGCACTTGCCTGGAGATGCCTCATTCTTTCCTACATCTGCGGTGGCATGGGGATAATGCAGCTGCCATATATATACATACACACACACACACACACACACACACACACACACACACACACACATTTGAGATGGGGTCTCACTCTGTCTCCCAGGCTGGAGTGCAGTGGCATAATCTCAACTCACTACAGCCTCTGCCTTCCAGGCTCAAGTCATCCTCCCACCTCAGCCTCCCGAGTAGCTTGGACCACAGGCATGTGCCACCATACGTGGCTAAGTTTTGTATTTTGGTAAAGCCATGTTGCCCAGGCTGGTCTCGAACTCCTGACCCAAGTAATCTGCCTGCCTCAGCCTTCCAAAGTGCTCGTATTACAGGCTTGAGCCACTGCTCCTGGCCAACTGCTAGATATTAATATGCAGTGCCTGTATATTCAGTGTGATTTAAAAAGCAAAAAATAAGAAAAAAAATTCAGGTCATAATAATTTAATACCAAACTGGCAAAGATTTATCTAATGACTTTCCGTAACAGTGGCATGGGGTGAGGGAGCAGTGCTGACAGATGGGGCTGGAGAAGTTAGCAGAAGCCAAAAGAGACAGAGCTTTTTCAAACACATTAAGGAAATCATCCCAAGGACAACGGCAAGCCAGTACTGGGCCTCTGTCAGGGCGTCACCTCCTCTGGCTGCTCTAAGGGGAATACACTGAGAGGCAACAAGACTGGAAATGAGTTGAGCAGTTAGGAGTTTGTGCAGTAATCTGGGCGAGATATTTTAGCCTCTTGGAAGCATGAGATAGCACTGGGGATGGAGACAAGTGGATGAGTAGAGGGATATTGAAGAGAGAGATCTGGCCGGGCATGGTAGCTCAAGCCTGTAATCCCGGCACTCTGGGAGGTGGAAGCAGGAGGATCACCTGAGGTCAGGAGTTCAAGACCAGCCTGGCCAACATGGCAAAACCCTGTCTTTACTAAAAATACAAAAATCAGCTGGTTGTTGGTGGCACACGCCTGTATTCCCAGCTACTGGGGAGGCTGAGGCAGGAGAATCGCTTGAACCTGGGAGGCAAAAGTTGCAGTGAGCTGAGATGGTGCCACTGCACTCCAGCCTGGGCAAGAAAGCAAGACTCCGTCTCAAAA